TTCGAGGTAAACAGAAAGTTATCTTAATTATTGATTGTTTAAGATAATAGTCCATCCATTCCTTTTTATTTGTCACTTTAGCAAAAGAAGAAAAATAACTTGGTTCAAGATATTTGTCACTTTTAAAAACCAGGAAGAGATAAAGATAATTTAGTCAAATATTTTTATAATTGCTAACTTATTCGATTCCGCAGAATGCGTAACCTAAAGACTAACTCCGCCCCTATAACTTAAAGGACACAAAATTAGAAGTAGAGATAATGCTAATTTACTACAGTAGTAGGTTATCAAAATCTATTATCAATTTAGTAAGTTTCTTGCTTGAGAATATTGAAGTGGGCGAACATCTCATCTAAAAGCTTAAGATGTTAGAAGGAGCATAAGTTTATTTACTAAATTATGTCTTCAACATGCTCCCTTACATGCCGGGTTGATTCTTTTTTATGAGCCAAGTACGTGAAAATTCCTTTTGATATTGGGTATCTCGGGAGCGCCCCTGTTGTTTATCTCTATGCGTTGTTTTGTTACTTGCTGTAAGAATTCTCCTTGTTAGATTCTAAGTCTTTTTATACTATTATATCTTGTCATACTTATTATATACTAGTAGGGGCCTGACCTGACCTCGTCACTACTCTACCAAGGTTAGGCTATGTACTTGCTGGGTACCGTTGTGGTGTACTCATGCTACTCTTCTGCACATATTTTGTATGCAGAACTAGGTACCTCCTACCAGCCCGCTATTAGCTGAGAGTACTTGCTGCTGTTACGGAGACTTCAAGGTATATTTGCCAGCGTCCGCAGGACCTCAGAGTCCCCCTCTATTCCCTCCTATGTTGTTTTCTTTCCGTATTTTCCTTCGACTCTGATGTATAGAGACACTTAATTATCTCCTAGAAGCTTGTGACTTGTGACTATCGAGTTTTGGGAATATTGATTATAATCGAGTGTTGGTTTACTTGTACATGTCGAGCGGTATTTTATTAGTTATGTAGTTATCTAATGAAGTTTAGTTTTTAAATTCTGCTTTTATTTCCATTATTCCGCAAATTGTTAGGCTTACCTGGTGGTAGAGAGTAGGTGTCGTCACGACATCTTACGGAGGGAGATTTGGGTCGTGACAGAAAGTAGCAGAAATAAGGATGCTGAGATGGATGTGTGGGCATACCAGGAGAGATAAGATTATGAATAAAGTTATTCCGGAAAAAGTGGGAGTGACATCCGTGGAGAACAAGATGCAGGAGTCGAGGATGAGATAGTTCGTGCCCTTGAGGAGAAGCCCAGATGCTCCTGTTAGGAGGTGTGAGAGGCTGACCATGGTGGGTCTAAGAAGCGGTAGAGATAGTCCAAAGAAGCACTGACGATATATGATTAAGCAGGAAATGGCGCTGCTTCGCTTTATTGCGGACATGACCAGTGATATGAGGGTGTGGAGGTTCAGAATTAGGGTAGAAGACTAGTAGATTGTCGAGCGTTCCCCATTCATTACTAGTAATATTAGTAGAACTCTTGTATTTTCCTATTCTTCGATCTCTATTACTGCATGTTGTTTCATTCGCTTCAATTATCTTATTTCCTTGTTGTTACTATTTGTTGGTACTTTTCTTTTTCGGCTTCTCCTTTTTTCTCATTGTTTCTTCTTCTTCTCCTCCTCCTCCTTCTTCTTCTTCTTCTTCCTTTCTCTTTTTTTTTTTTATCTTTTCTTGAGGCGAGGGTCTATAAGAGATAACCTCTCTCTTTCTCTCTACCTTCACTAGGTAGGGGTAAGGTCTGCGTGCACACTACACTTCAAAGATTTCACTTGTAGAATTATACTGGATTTGTTGTTGTTGTAACTGTAAAAAAACCATAGCCGACTAACACAATTAGCTATTATATTTACAGAATCACAAAATCAGACCAAGAGTCCTACTAGAATCAATAATTGAGTACTATATTTCTAATCCTAGGAGAAGCTCGAAAAATGCATACAGATGCTATCTCCCTAGCTATAACTTTCCATCTTTTACTCTTATTTTCAAAGACTCTCCTATTTCTTCCGATCCACACACTATGCATAACTTCAGTATACATCATTTTGAAAATTTGAGTAGCTTGCTGACATTCGGCTTAAAGTATGCATATTACCTCGCATTTTACTCATATTTTGCGGAAATTAGATGTGTAATGTAATGATTTATGCTAATCCATGGTATTTTTATGTCTAGGAGTCACCCGGATGCAATGTGCGACGAAAGTGCACGATTTGAAGCAAAAAGAGAACAAAACAGAAAATCCACCAAGTGTAGCGCCTAGGCCAGCATGTCGCGCTGCCTAGGGCGCAAAAGGCAGACTCAAAAATTTTGGCCAACAGCCTAGCGTCAGGGCCAGCGCGACGCGTTGCCCTGGACGCTGGGTGACAGGGTGTTCTCCTACTTCGCGGGGGACAAGGTCTTTTTTGCATTCGATTTATCGATTCGATTTTGACCCTTTATCGATTTGTACATATGCTTATCGTTATCGTTTCAATAAGGTTTCGATTTATCGATTTTTGGGGCTTATCGATTCGATTATGGATTACACCGATAAGAAAATTTGCGGGATTCCACGGAAAGTATATCGCTATAAACACGCCTAACTAATATGGACCAAAAGAAGCTAAAATAAGACGAACACCGTTTATAACATAAAAATTGTGTCAACAAGAACATGCAACGAAACTAAAGTAAGGGATCAAATGTATGCCACCAACACTCCAACGGTATAAAAAAAAATACATCATCACGGCTAATTCTATTTTCCATTAATTTGAACTTCATTCCCTTGAGCTTTAAATATGATCATTCCTTAAATATGGTAGATGAAATAATAGGGTTAGGGACTTAGGCTAAAGGAAAGGGTATTATAGAATAAGGGTAAAAAAAATTTTAAAAAAATTTAAATTTTTTTTTTTTTAGTATTTCTTATCGATTTATCGATAAACCGATAACCGAAGAGGACAAAATCGAAATCAAAATCGATAACTCGATAAGGAAAATTTCGAAATTGAAATCGAAATCGATAAACCGATATCGATAAACCGATAACAAATAATCGATTCGATTTATCGATAAACCGATTCGAATGCACACCCCTACGGTCCTACACACTCCCAACTCGTATAAAAAGAAGTCTTAACCTATTTTAAAGGGAGAGACGCCACTTTGAGACGAAAAAACACACACGGAACACTCTGGAGCAAGGATTCTCAGTTGTTCTTCATCTTTCTTAGTATTTTCAACTATTCAACACTTGTGAAATTGTTTAACCTTATCATGAGTGACTAAAACCCGTAAGTTTTAGGGTTGTGGTGGCTAGAACCCATAAGTTCTGGGGTTGTGGTTTAGCCATGAATATTGTTGTTCGAAGTTGACTTTACCTTGATTATAATTCGCTAATATATGATTGTTTCTTCAATTCTGTGAGTAATTGCTTGATTATCTGGCTAACAGTTAGGTTCTATTTACTATCTACGCTATGCTTGGGAAAGCTACGTCTAGATTAGAGAAGAATTGAAGAGGGCATGATCTTAACTCTGAGTGGGGGCATTTGTGGCTAGGATAGGAATATACCTAATCATCATGCTTAATTGAATATCGTAATCTTAATGCGTTCTTAATAGATTGATTCCATAGGAATATAAGCGTTAATCTATCTTGAATAAGCGAGTAGTAATTTGGGAGAATGCTACGAGAGCAATTACTCGATTAATTAGCAATCATGAGCAGGTTGTACGAAAAGGAGAGTTAATTAGAACGCAATAGGATTGGTAAATCGATCACTACCCTTGAATGTTTATCTCTACTGAATTCTCATCAACAATTTCCTGCTTGATTAATTAGTTAATTGTTACATTCATTGCTTAGCTATAATCACACTATTCAACTCTGATTGACTCGACTGAATAACAATTTGAGTGAAATTAGTAGGTAGTTAACGCAAGTCTATGTGGGTTCGACACTCTACTTATATTACTTATTGATCACGTATACTTGCATGTGCATCTGGGAGCAAGCGTCTTCCCCTTGGATCTTATGATAACTGCTTGTATATGCTGCTCCATCCACTTGTAATTAGAGGTTGGCTTTGTATCCATTGTGCTAGTTTGTTCATCACTGCCTTCGTATATTCACATTCCACTAACAGATGCTCTCTTAAAATTCATTGTATTTTTGGCGTAAAGTACATTTGAGCTCAACATCCATTCCCCATTAACTAGTCTGTCAGCAGTTGCAGTCTATCTTGCAATTGCAGCCATAGAGTGGATCTTGCTTTTGGTCTATCTTCCATCAGTTGTATATAGATTTGCTTGATGATACTCTTCTCATTGCCATATAGATTATGTGTGAATTTATTATAGGTATACATTTTCAAAAAAAAAAAATTGCAATATATAGAGGTCGAGCAAAAAGCAATTGATTCAGTTGAACTCGCAAAATCTGCCTCTGAGAGGAACTGTGTCAGCACAATGGTCACTCTTGGTGCAACTGAACTGAAGTACGAGTTAAGACTAATAGGGCTGCAGGCATCAAAATCAACTTGGTTACTTTTGCTGCTCTGAGATCTCGCTAAAGCTGAAAACTGTGTACTTCTCATAGTAATACTTTTCAAGATTTTTTCATAGAAATCAAATTGGAGTAAAAAGAACCAAACCCAAGAAACAGAGAAGAAAAAGGTAGCAAGATATTTTTCTCTTTGTTTTCACTTTTCAGTATGAAGATCTATTTTAGGATTCTGTTCGTGAAGATTGTAAATTGTTTTTTGAAATAAAATAATTAGGATGCATTAGGAATATTCTCAATCAAGAGAACACTTTTTTCTTTTAATGTTATAAAATTCACCGAGGCAAAACTGGTTTCACAGTTTAGTCTGGGGATATTCTGGAATCTGCAGGAACTTAAATTTCGTTGTTGAAATATCAAAACACCATTTCTATGTCTTAATTGACATAATTTGAGATAAAAAAGTTATGGAAAGATTTTAAATTGGTACAGAAATTCGGGATATTACTCACAGCTGAAAAGATACTCTTCTATAAAACTCGCACAATCACTAATTACCCAATAAATAAACAATATTACAAGTAAACAATGATCATTATGTCCTATAATGATATCAACTCATATGTAAAATAAATACAAACACTCAAATCACAAAAAGCTCCTCCGTGCTAGAAAAGTCCGATATATATAAATACAAGAATCTACCACATGATACTAATGGCAATAGACATGAACATGATCAAGGCAGGAGCAAAGACGTTCCTCGGGGCAGAGCTAGGAGCCGGTGGAGGAATTAGACCTTCGGGAGGTGTCTCGGCTGAAGGAGTAGTCCCCGGTGTGATCGGTCCAGTGGTTGGAGAGGACGATGGCGAAGATCCTGCACTGCCACTAGGAGTAGGAGTTGGTGCAGACGGGCCCATTGATGGCGATGGACTTGGCGTTGGCGTTGGCATTGGGGTTGGGGAAGGTGTAGAGGAAGGAGTCGGTGCAGACGTAGGCGTAGGGGTAGGGGTCGGGACGGGTGATGGAGCGGGGGTGGTTGCAGGGGAGGGTGCAGGACTAGGACTAGAAGTGGAAGATGCTGTAACATTGATGGCTAGTTTTTGGCCAGCAGAACAATGTTGGCCAAAAGTGCAAATGAAATATTCTGTTCCTGTGGAATTGAGAGTAATATTGGCTGGTCCAACAGTTATAAGAGTAACAGGACCTGTAGAGCTGCAAGAATCATATGCACTCTTTGTGACTTTGGCTACATCATGTGCTCCAGTTGCAAAGTTGAACACTGCAGAATTTGAAATTGAGTAATTTCAAGTTAATTCGTATAACTTCAAGTATTGAGTTTCAGTCTAGGAAAATTGCAAAATGTTACAATTCTGTTACCAACAACTACAATAACAAGTACGGCTTAATCCCAAGCAAGTTAGTGTTGTAGGTTAGGAGGTAGTTGAGCGTTTTCCTGCTCCATACGGTGTATAAGGCTAGTCTGTTAGTGTCTTGTTTTCGTACGTTAGTGATGCGTGCTGTGTTCTTATTATTTTTCCGCTCCAGTATTCTAGTACCTTGCATTGTTACTGATTAGCTTTTTCCATTTATTTTTCTGATTCTATCTTTATGGCCTCTGTTGTCGTCATTGTTCTATTGTCTCTTTTCATCTTCTTGTGCTGAGGGTCTATCGGAAACACCTTCTCTACCCTACAGGGTAGGGGTAAGGTCTGCGTACACACTACCCTCCCCAGACCTCACTTGTGGGACTATATTGGATTGTTGTTGTTGTTGTTGTTGTTGTTGTATATCACATTTAAGCTTATTCCTCATAGTCCAATATTATTTAAAACATAGAACTAAAAAGCATAGAAGTTCTCTATATTTCTACCAGCATACAAATCTCTGACAGGACTAAAAGACTCCTAATTTTTTTGGTCTTTGTTGGTCTTTCTTTCTACAAAATTCAAGTTTTCTGAAAATTTCATAGCACCTAAGTCTAACTGGTTCTGATCTTTGAACTAGAAAAAGAACATTATAGAGTGACTGGAGCTCCTTCAAATCAATTAGTATGTTGGAAGGCCTAACAAGTGACAATAACCAAAGTCTGAATGCTAATTTTAGTTACCTTTCAAATAGTTAATATTCCGCATCTACTTATTTCGGGATGCAGACATCTATCTATTATTAAAAAGAAAGAAGTCGGCCATGAGAATTCGCCATGTGTCGTGTGAAGAAAATGTCATATGGCAATTTTAGGATATAATTAGTTATTTTAGTTAAAATTAGTTTACTTTTTAAATTTGAATTTCAAAATAATACAATATTTATTTTTTTACTTTTAGAAAAAATTAACTTACCAACAAAGAAGTTACAAAGAAAGGAATAGAATTCGGGAATAGGAAGTTACGATTGTGGATGTTTAAAAATAATATATCAATTTTTTTACATTCTTTAAAATTAGTTTACTAACAAGGAATAAAACTTAAGAAGTTACCAACAAGGAATCAACTCCATTCATGCGTGCCTTTCCATGTAAAATTCTAAACCCTAAGGGGTCTGAACTTCAAACAACCCACGATGTTGTCCCATGATCTCAACTCCTAACCCACTAATCCTTCTTCGTTGGAGTCCCAAAAACATGATTTTTCAGATTTTTCACACTTTTACAATATATACATCCAATTCTTTTTCCTTTCTTCGCATATCACTCAACAATTCTGGATTACAGGAGGTAAGTTCTATAATTTGTAATTCTAGAACACTCATTAAATTTCTAGAAAGAGCAACGATCTTTTACTTTTTTCTTCCTTTCACTCCTTTCTTCTTTAGATTATGAAGAGATATTTAACTTGAATATAGAAAAGCAACAAATTTTCGAGTTCTTTCTTCCTTTCACTCATTGCTTTTCTCTTCTTTCATTGTTATATAAGTTATTCAATAGAAAAAGTAACATGCTACTAATAATTGCATTACAAAATCAAAGGTCTGATTTTGTAATGCGATTCTAAGATCTGAAATTTTTTCAATCTGGCATCAAGTGGGGCACTGATTATTTCTTGAAATGCAGTTCCAAGCTTAATCGCTTCTTCATCCATGTGATTCCCAATGGTTTTCAAGAATATTGAGAATTAATTTATATCCTATTTTTTGATATATTAATTTTTGTATATATTATATTTATATAAAATTATAAGTTAATTTTATTATTATTATAATTGTATAAAAAGAAATATAACCATTATTTAAAAATAAAAAATGCAAATATAAGATATCTAATGTTAGCTAANCTCCTCGTCATCACCTTCGTCAGGGAAGAGTGTGTCATCTCCAGACTCATCGACATTGTTTTCATAATCACTATTATCTTCCTGACTCTGCGCATCTGCCAAATCACGCATAAATACGTCGTCTACGAGCAACTAAGTGAGGTCAGGACCATCAAGTTGCTCATTTTCACTGCACAAAAAGAACAAAATGATAAGCTACTCAAATTGATAAATACTTTACATATAGCTATATCACTTCACTTACAAGTCGTACTGTGTTGACATTCCATGATGGATATTTTCCTGTTGGTGATAAATACTTTACATATAGCTATATCACTTCACTACGCATATTCAAACTGTGCGTGGGGTCATAACTTGTAAAATTTATATCCGGACGGTACCCCTTGAGGAATATATGAATGTTAATACAAATTCAATTCAACAAAAAATAAACGTCGTAATAGAAAGGAAAATCGAAGTTTACCAGTCGTCTTGCGAATTATGTAAAGTAGGAGAGAAATTATTTCCTCGCTCCTTGTTCGCCCGCGGAGATAAGTTTAGATTCGGCCAAACTCATTCAGCCGCATCCTGTTGGGCTAAAACTGCTCCAGAATAACCACCCGATGATTGAGGGTTATCCATGCTTTGCGCAAAATCATTATTGCAAACGTCTTCAACCTTCACGTATATGCCAAGACCCATTTTCATAATGGGACATGATTGCACCCAACACCCTTGCCGGGCAAGCCTACGCGGAAATATAAATAAGTTCTCATTTTACTCTTACCAAATAATTGCAACAATTTCTTAATTTAAGGATAAAATAAGTAATAACCAGCAATGTACAAAAACAGTCATACAAATCCCAAAAAAGAATAGTCTACTACTGTGTGTGCCAAGACCTGGTGTCACAAGTTGTGGGCAACTAGTAGAATATACAAAAGAACAATCCTATCCTACTGTCCGAGATAGAATAGACAGCCAAAATAAATAAAGAGAGACTCCATCAAGCTACTGAACGACACAGGAAGGGAGCAACTCACCATGGAAGTCTCCGAATATGCTCACTGATACGCACCAGACTGATAGCCAGATGTACCTGCCTCAGATCCTGTACAATTAAGTACAGAAGTGTAGTATGAGTACATAAACAATAAGGGTGCACTGCGGGCCGGGCCCAGCCCGGGACCGGACCGGGACCGCGGGCCAAACGGGCCTATTGGGCCGGTCTCAGTGGGCCGGTCCCAAATGGTACTCCAAGCCCGTAGCGGGCCGGTCTTTTACATTTAGCCCACGAGCCCGGGACCGCTAAGCCCGGGACCGGCAGGCGGGCCTGGGCCGGTTCAACCGGGCCTAACGGGCCTCAACGGCTATAATTTAAAAAAAAAAGACCAACTGTTAGATTTTAAAATCTAGCCGTTGGCCATCAAAAAAGAGCCGTTTGGGACTTTAAAAAATAGCCATTTGGCCCCCAAACTTTATTTTAACCCCAAACTTTATATAATTATACTTTTTCCCAATTCTCAACTATAAATACCCCCTCATTCTTTCATTTTTACTCACAAATTCATCAATCTCTCTCAATCTCTCTCAATCTATATCTAATTCTCTTCTATAATTGCTTATTTTATTATTGCAATTGCGTGAAAAATTGTGAAGTTGGTGAATTGAAGTATTCAAGTCTTCAACGATTTTCAATTTTCAAGAAGTTGTTTGGCAATTCGGTAAAGTCGTTTCAACTCTTAAGTTATAAGAATATATTTTTGTGTGTTTTAGTTTGCATATTAATTTTTAAGGCTAATTAATATGGCATTTTCTTTGAAAAAAATGTTTGGTGGTAAGGGAAAATCTAAAATTGGTGAAAGTAGTTGCCAACCTACTACCCTTCCCCCGGCTCCCCGACCCACCCGTCCTCCTGCACCTATTATTCTTGATAGTGATAACCCTTGTTTTCAATTTTTCGATAGTGAATTTTGCCATAATGTTGCACCAGGTCAACAATTAAATGATGAAGTTTGAATGCTCTTTATCCTAATGAAACTATTTTTGAAAATGATGATGAAAATGATGATGTAGATGAAACCCAACCGGATTTATATGATACATGAGGTCCCGGGGGCCTTGGGATGATTTCGAATGGTTAGCGGGAGGATTTTTGAAGTTTGGAAATGCCAGTCTTTGCTGATTCTGGTATTTCCGCATCTGCGGCCTGGGAACCGCAGATGCGGTTCCGAAGATGCGATATTGAAGACCGCAGAAGCGGTTTTGGCCAAGCTTGTTTGTTTCTACAGATGCGGTGGTTGGCCTGCAGAAGCGGGACCGCNTAGAATGTGATCGCTAAATTTAGTCCGAAATAAAGACATATTTGTACTATATCATTTTTTCCTTTGAAACAATCCGCGCATCGCGCGGGTACGTATACTAGTGTTGGTTTATAACACTAATTGACGTCTAAGGTATAGCAATAACTGTAATAAACGTTCTACTAATGACTTCTGAGGAATTATTACCGATTCAAAACTTTCAACCGCTACATCCCTTTTCAATTATCTCAAATAGTGAGCGAACCAAGTAAGAGAAAGAGGTGTCGAATACGTAATAATACATACCTAAAGTATCACCAACTCTGAAGGTACGTTGTGAAGCCCAATTGGCATAAGTTGAAGGGCCACCTGAAGGAATTCCCCAACCACTACTATCGCCAACCACATGATCAACTGCTGTTATTTTCCCCGGCAACGCCACCAAAATAGCCACTAATACTAGTGCAATTCTTGCAATATTCATCCTTGTAACCATATTTGTTGTGTTTTCAGGTAGCCCCAATTGGATCTTTCTTGATATAATAATTAAGTTTCCTCTTTTGTAGCTGATGTATATAAAAAGCTGCTAAGTTTCAGAGTTTCTGTTTGAACATTTGTTCAATACTAGGTTGTATTTATAGAGCTAAATTAGTCTATGGAAGTATCTAGGATGTTTCAGTTGAATATGTTGTTAAAGTTTGACTTAGCAAAATAAAATATCATGATCTAAATGAAAAGAGGTAGTGGAATTAGAAAGATTTTGGTCCAGACATGTGGCATTTTTGGGAGTTGAACTGCTCCTTATTGGATGTTGGAACAGTTTTAATAATTCTGCCAAATTCCTAACTTCCTAAAACGAATATAGTACGTCTCTGGATTAAGTCTATCTGCACCAATAAATCAAAATAAAAAATAAATATAAGTGTTTATAATAACTACAATAAATACACAACACGTGTCTTTTTTTGAGGTATAATCATCTGTATGCAATATTCACCGGCCCAACTAATATAATTTTGCATTGTGTAGGACCCATTCAGCGGAAAAACGCTTCCTATCAGGGGTTTTTGTCATTCTTAGAAAATTCAAACTCGGTACCTCTTTGAAAGTTTGGACCATTTATCAAACATGTGTCTTCACATATACTATAGTGCGAGCAGGGGCATATGCACCTTATACCATGCGGTGTCAAAGGACACTGCTAGGTCGAAAATTTTCACTAGATATTTATAAACAAAATAAAAATATTGAGGATACTAATTAAAAATGACACTACGGGTCATTATAGTTTATTCATTTATTTATATATATTTTTAAATTGTGACATCGCTTATGTAAAATTCTGCGTATACCACTGAGCACGAGTAAATTTTACTATCTCTATTGAAGTCTGTATGCACGAATTAATCAAAATGGAATAGTCAAGAGACAAGACACTTGTTACGTTGCAAGTTGGTTGACGCGTAACGAACGACTTTGAAATTTCCAAGTCCAAGTCGTCTTTGATCTTTTCTTTTTAATTATTAAAGAATACAAAGATATCTTTTCATCCTATGTGAAACTTCGTTAAGAAATGGATAAAAGTTAATTGGGTTATTATCACTTTTAGGCCGCACCAGAAACTATTTATATCTGATAGCCGAAAAAGTATATAAAATTTGTAAATTTTTTGTATATAACATACAGAATATATATATATACAAACAATATATAATTTTTATATATTTTTTCGGCTATTATTTTTACGGTGGCTACACAATATCGTTTTTCCTTATTTTTAATTTTCACATTCTTGCATGTCTTCCTCTCATAGTAGAAATTGAGTTAAGGGGTTAGATAATTAAATAGATCTAATGCTTTAAGTATCACAATGACACAATATGTATCATTATATTGTACCATCTAGCTAAATCTCAAATTACTACTTACCAATCAAACATGGCCTGGTGGCCTTGTGTATATCACCAAAACTTGACCTATTTTCTGTTACACCTAAATCCTAATCATGACGAAATTCACTTACAGAAAAAACGTTGTATGATTAGAAGAAGAAGAATCAAAGAGACTGAATCAAAATGGGTATCTTATCTTGTCCTTGTAAAACAACTTTTGGTCCACAAAAGTGTACTATGAAAAGTTCCAATTCCTTACCACTTTACCACTTTCTCCTTTTTTCCATTGCTGTACCGACCGAGTCAATTTGAGCACACCTCAACTTTTATTGCATATTGTTTACTTCTCATCGGATTATAAGGCATCCGGTGCATAAAGCATCATGCATTGTTGTAGGGTCCGGGAAGAGTCGCAACCCAAGGGGTATGATGTAGACACCCTACCCTTATGCAAGCATTAGTGATTGTTTCTACGGCTCGAACCCGTAACCTATAGGCCACATGGAGACAACTTTATCATTGCCGCAAGGTTTTCCTTCCTTCCCATTTACGGGAGAGGCTCAACAGATCCCGTGGCCCAAGGCGAAATCATATTTAAGGGCCCTTAAATTTATTTTATAAAATATTTTCATTAACAACAAAATTTGCTTTTAAAATAATAGATGAATCATTTAAGCCAAAAAATGAATTTAAAAAAAAATAAAAAAAATAGGAAGAAGAGTGCAAAAAATAAAGTGGTGGACTACCGGATGTTGAGGTCCAGAACTCAAAGTGAAAATTTTGAATTGGCTATCATCAAAAACAAGAAAAAGAAATAAACGTACGTAACGTAATAGCTTAAGTTTTGAGCATTGACGGTATCAAAATATTTACTCCTTTTGATCAATTTAAACGATAATTGCAGTTCATTCTATTAAGTAGCGCTTATTGGTGAATTTCTAAAATAAATTGTAAATAACTTAATATAATATGTCGAACTACACCAAAAGAAAACTGGTACATGACTATTTTTGTGTTCATGCAGTTTCAGAGAACATTATAAAAGACATTCATTATGTTGTCGATATATATATATAACTTAATTCTTATATAAAAAGGATAAAATTAAAACTGAAGAGGGAAACAAAATGACCTAATTAATGAGGAAAGAAAACTATCTTAATTTATAAATTTATTGATATAAAATAACAAGAAAATATATTGTAGCACTTATCTTTATAATAATTATTTATATAAATTATATAGTATATAATAACAATAATAATAATAATAATTTTAAAATAAATTTGGGGCCTTCAAATTATAGGGGCCTAAGGCAATGGCTTCACTGCCCAAAGCCATAGAGCTGCCCCTACCCATAAGAACATATACCAACTAATTCTGCTAACAAAGACATAAGTAAATGGAGAAAAAATCACCGAACTTTTTGGTTTCTACTAAAATTGACTGTAATTACTCATGATTTTCACTCATTTCATTTGCGCTTGCCTCATTCTGATTGGAAAATGCCCTTTACACTATTCGAGAGGTGGCCACTTCAAAGGTTAACTTTCAGTGTATTGGTCCACAAGGTATTTTATGGTGGAATTTTTAGAAGAATAAAATTAAAAAAATCAAGGTATTCTCTATTTGTTACAACTGCAGCAGATTTGGTTCTCTAGATTAATGCTGCACTGTGGGCCGGGCCCAGCCCGGGACCGGACCGGGACCGCAGGCGAAACGGGCCTATTGTGCCGGTCTCAGTGGACCGGTCCCAAATGGTACTCCATGCCCGTAGCGGGCCGGTCTTGCACATTTAGCCCACGAGCCCGGGACCGGCAGGCGGGCCTGAGCCGGTTCAACCGGGCCTAACGGGCCTCAACGGCTATAATTTTAAAAAAAAATTAAAAAAAAATGACCAGCGGTCAGATTTTAAAATCTAGCCGTTGTCCATCAAAAAAGAGCCGTTTGGGACTTTAAAAAATAGCCTTTTGGCCCCCAAACTTTATATAATTACACTTTTTCCCAATTCTCAACTATAAATACCCCCTCATTCTTTCATTTTTACTCACAAATTCTTCAATCTCTCTCAATATCTCTCAATCTATATCTAATTCTCTTCTATAATTGCTTATTTTATTATTGCAATTTCGTGAAAAATTGTGAAGTTGGTGAATTGAAGTATTCAAGTCTTCAAGTCTTCAACGATTTTCAATTTTCAAGAAGTTGTTCGGCAATTCGGTAAACTCGTTTCAACTCTTAAGTTTTAAGAATATATTTTTGTGTGTTTTAGTTTGCATATTAATTTTTAAGGCTAATTAATATGGCATTTTCTTTGAAAAAAAATGTTTGGTGATAAGAGAAAATCTAAAATTGGTGAAAGTAGTCGCCAACCTACTACCCTTCCCCCGGCTCCCCGACCAAGACCTGTTACCCGTCCTCCTGCACCTATTATTCTTGATAGTGATAACCCTTGTTTTTAATTTTTCGATAGTGAATTTTGCCATAATGTTGCACCAGTTCAACAATTAAATGATGAAGTTATGAATGCTCTTTATCCTAATGAAACTATTTTTGAAAATGATGATGTAGATGAAACCCAACCGGATTTAGATGATACACCTACTAGTCCTGTTAATAACCCAACTGATGTCCCGCCCGACCCATCTGTAGAAACCCCTACTTTTAATAGACAACCTTCTAAACGCCCCGAAACATCACTTGTTTGGAATTTTTTTACTCAATTAAGAGAACAAAATAAGACTAAGTGTAAAACTTGTGGGAGTTTGCTGGCGCATAAATTTACTGGAGACCGTAGCGGTACGGGTAGTTTGGCTAGGCACATAAAAATACACCCTAGAGATAAAGCTAAATTTTTACAAATGAAAGCGCAGCTAGAGGGGACAAGTGTAGATACTACGGTTAACCCTAGTACAGGTTCAAATCTAGTTCAACCAGGAATTAACACTATGACCGGTGGTATTTTATATTACGATCCAAATAAAGATCGTGAAGAATTAGCTAAGATGGTTACCGTTATATGCTTATCCTATAGTTTTCCTTCTAACCCTAGCTTTGTGCATTATATTAGAAAAGTTTTTAATCCTACTTATAAAGGTTGGCCTCGCGCAACCGTAAAGAGCGATATTTATAAATATAAACATGAATATGAACAATATTTGCGGTATTTATTTACTCATATAAATTGTCGGATTGCTATTACTACTGATATTGGTAGAAGTAATAATGACTGTGATTATCTAACTGTTACAAGTCATTGGATAGATGAGGAGTGGATAATGCAAAAATGCATTATTGCTTATAGAATAATTAATTCACGTCACACAGGTAAGTTTATTGCTAACACTGTTGCAGATATTTATAGATATTTTTGCATTAGAGATAAAATAATGGCAATTTCTATGGATAATGTTTCTAGTAACACTAATGCTATAGGCATACTTACAACAACACTAAATCCTGCATTTAGTAATTATTTCCATGTTAGATGTGTTTGTCATATTTGCCATTTAATCGTCGGTGATGGTATGAGAATTTTAAATTTAGAAATTGAAAAGGTTAAAATGGCTCTTAATTGGCTTTTTTATTCAAACCGTAGAAGTAGACTTAGAGAGTATTTTAAAAAATGTGATGAATTTGGCCTTAGAGAAAGAAAGGTTCCTAAACCTTGTCCGACTAGATGGAATTGTATGTACGAAAGTTTAGTAGTTGCATATGAATATAGAAACCCAATTAATGCAACGTTTAATGCTCGTGTTGGTGGTGAGGATGATGATGAAATCCTTACAAATCAAGATTGGAATAATGTT